CACTGGAGTCTAGTCAGCCCATCTAGAGTCATTCCCTTAAAGAAGATTTCCCTCACCCAGCAGTAACTAGCTGCCAATAGTTCTTCGGCTAGGGTTGGGACCCACTGCTCAGTTCCCCAGTTCAGTGCTGGGTTGTTGCCTGCTTGAGTTTGCATGGGTCTTGTGCATGTTGATATCATGGCTGTAGGTTCATATGAGCAAGGTCCCTGGAGCCTGTAAGACTCTGTTTCCATATGATCATGTCCTTCAAGGTGCCAAGAGCACACATTGGAGGAAAGATAGCATCTTCAACAAATTGTTCCTTTTCTTTTTGGCCTTTTCAAGACAGGGTCTCCCTTTAGCCTCAGCTGGCCTGTGGAACTCACTGTACAGACCAGGCTGGCCTCTATCTCACAGTGACCTGCCTCTGACTGCACACCCAGCACTTGAGTGCTGTGATTAAAGGCCTGAGCCACCACGCCCACCTTAGCTTTGTTTTTCTTAATTGAGAGGCAGTAGATACAGTAGAAAGTTCTGGACATATTGAGGTCTAGATATCTTTATTAGCTGACCCTCTATGAGGTTGTTGTTTGACCTCCCATAAACAGGCCCATTTTTTTCAGCCAGAGCTGAACTAGAGAACCTTCCAAGATTGTTATCCTAATGTTTCTTAGAGCTTACCTTGTTTGATGCTGATTGGAGCCTAAGCAAGAAAATTGTGAACATTTTAGAATAACCTTAGCTTGCTTTGCTTCAGTGTTGCCATAGCAACACTGGTGCCCATCACCAAACTCCTTCACTCTACCCTTTTTTTCTCCCAGTGGTAGCTCAGAAGCAAGGGGAAGGAGGGCACTGAGTGTAAAAACCTCAAAACAACAATAACCCAAACCAAACAGAACAATCTCAAATCCCTGGTTTCAAATTTTTTTAGTTTCTCTTCGAGGGTTTGCTTTTAGTGCTCTTTTGTGGGTTCTTCAATTAATTATTAAATATTTTACTTATTATTTTAATTCTTTTGTGTATGAATGTATTGTCTGCATGTGAGTGCACCTGTGTCATGCAATGCCGTGGAAGTCAGAAGAGGGCATCGGATTCCCCTGGAACTGGAGTTAAGTATGTTCTTAGCCATAACGTAGGTGCTGGGAATTGAACCTGGGTCTTCTGCAAGAGCAGTCAGTGCTCTTACCCTGAGCCAGCCCCTTGATTAAACTTTAAAACAATCTCTTAAGATAAGACATCTCAGAGATTTCTTCCTATTTATTTATTTATTTATTTATTTATTTATTTATTTGCAGGTTCTTACTACGTAGCCCTCCTTGGCCTGGAATTCACTACATACTCATGTTGTAGAGCAGGATGGCCTCTCCCACTCCAGTGCTAGGATTAAAGGAATATGCCACTGTTACTAGTAGCAAACAGGGCCCATTAAGAGAAAACTTCTGGGGGCTTAGGGAGACGGTGGCTCAGTGGTTAAGAGCACTGAATGCTCTTGCAGAGGACCCAGTTGGATTCCCAGTACCCACATAGGGGCTAACAACTGTCCATAATTCCAGTTCCAGAGGATCTGGTGCCCTCTTCTGACCCCATTGGGCACTGCATGGTATGGGTGCATTTAGACACATGCAGAAAATACACTCATACACATAAAATTAAAAAATAATGAAATACAATAAGTAAAGATTAAACTTCTAGCCAAGAGAATAATAAAATCTCTGGCCTAGGTAGAGACAATAATCCAGTTGGGTGGGTCAATCACCTGGCCAAGGGACCACCCATAGGGAGTTGGGTTCACCTCAAGCCATACTAAAGAGATAGTTAGAATAATTAGTCCTTTAATGAGAAAATGTACTTTTCCTGCCCAGAATTCCCACCCCTACCTTACCAGGCCGTAGCTGTACAGTTTTGTAAGGCTGCCAGTTTTTCCAAATTCTTCAGAAAAGAATAACCTTCTCTTTTCTTCTCTTGTCTTTAGCATGCTTTATCTAACACTTTGGGTTAGGCTAACATTTTGAGATTCATTATACTTTCTGTAAAGCTCCTCCTCCCTGCCATGTGGCTGCTAGTCTGCCATGTGTCTGACCTCTACGCCAGCTTAAATCACATAGCTTCTTCCTTTCTTCTCCATTCTCTTCCTCTGGGAAGCTACTGAGATTTACAACTTGCCTGCCTTGGGGGTTTTCTTTTATAATAAAATTTACCTCAAGCTTCTGTTTGACTCCATTTCTTTTATTAATGAGACTATCTGCCCCCTCCCCCCAGGGGGGGGACCCTAAGTTTCCTTGCATTACCACTATACCCAACCTCAGAATTATTTATAGAATATAGTTTCCCATCAAAGATTATTTTACAAGTTGAACTGTAAGAAGGTAAATAGCAACCAATATTTAGATACTCCCTACTACATGTGAAGCACTGTTCTTTTTGCATATTTTGTAAATTTAAAGGTGACATTTGATCTTCAGAGTTCTCTGAAGTAGGTACCTGATACCTCTTATAATCTAACCCTATTCAGTTCCTAAATTCTACTGTTAGAGGTTAGATGGGGGTTCTATGGGCAATTATGGATGGCCAGGGACACTGCATTACTGAAATCTACTTTGCATTCCCTACTTCGGTGAACTAGTCTTAGGTGCAAAGTTAAAAATTTAAGTAGCAAGTGCAACTTAAAATACAAATGAAATCATTTTCATGTCTTTGTTGCAGTAACAAAGGCTTAGAAGGGCAGAATTCAGGACAAGAGTTATCAATTTTACAGATGCAGAAACTGCAGCACAAAAATTAAGGAAACTGCCTGAGATTTAATGGCTAATAAATGTCAGTCAGAGTCAGCACTCTTGGGATGCTATGGCTCCAGACTGCCCAGTGGAATGTTATTTTCCTCCTTGAATCATGTGAGAATGTTCTGAAGTTTTCTGAGACTGTGCTTGGGGAGGTATTCCAGAGAGTTCTTTGTTTTTACCAGTGCTTCATCTGTCAAGACTCTGATGTATGCTTTCTTGGCATTATCACAAAGTGTAGACCATGAGCTTCCTGTATGGCTTAGCAGACTAATCACATGACTTTCGGAAGGATGACAAGCCATTTTATAGCTGTCTTTAAAGAGTTCCCTCCATCCACCACAGTGGGGAGAGAGAAGTTATGTGCCTTATAGGAAAAGCTGACTTCCAGTGTAGATCAATCTTGGCTTTAAGTACAGTGTAACATGCTCTCGTGCTGGGCTATTCATCTTGAAGTCTGGAAATTTGTGGTCTCTTCAAACCATTGTTCTCAACTTGGAGTGCTTGTAAGAAATGGTATCCATAGCCAGTTCAGTTCAAATTTGTATTTCACCTTCCAATATTCCCTAAAGTAGTTAATGAATAATGTTAGTGATGATCTTACTTCAGACCTCAGCCAGAGCCCTCATGAAATCATGTGACAGTTTAGGTGGCTGGTGGTGGCACACACTGGTAGGAAATGCTGATAGAGAGGGAGGCAGGATCATGAATTCAAGGACAGGTTGGGTAGGAGGCTGGGGAGATTGCTCAGTGGGTAGGTGCTTGCTGTTATAAGTTTGAGAACCTCAGTTCACATCCCCAGTACTTGGCATGTCTTTAATCCCATGGCTGGGAGGCAAAGGGGATCACTGGCCTGCCAGCAAAGCCAAAACAACCGAGCCAAAATGGTGACCTCCAGGTGTTGGGGGACGCTGCTGCTAAGGTTGTAGTCCTCCATGTCTGGATAGCTCTAAGGGGCTCGGCACTATATGGAAGGACTCTCTTTCTCAGCGGGGGGCCTCCTGCTCTCTGCCTGACTTACCTGGAAAGTGCCGCCAAGCACGGATACCTGACCTTATTTGGAACATGACCTTTGCCATAGTTACCTGGAGTAAAAACTACCCCCAGGGTTTTTCTATGTGATAATTAGGCATTGCCCCATAGTCGGATGATAGGATCCCCCTACCACATGTAAATAAAGCATACTATGAGCACCTATCAGCTGAAGCTTTGGCTGCTGCCTCCACACTATATTTTCCCTAACCCCCAATCCCCCAACATCCAGGTTCAGTGAAAAACTGTGTTTCAGAAAGTAAGGAGGAGAACGATAGAGGAACACATCTAACACTGGCTACCATAAGCACACACACAGAAGCATAAATGTTCTGGAGTTTAAGCAGTTGCTCTCATACTTGTCAGCTGTCTGCTGACCATTTAGTTCACTGGGGATAAGCTCATGTTCACGTTAGACTAAATTCTGCCCAACTTAGCTGACAGGTATAAATTTTAATGAAAAATAAATCACAGCTTAACTTCAAAGCAGAAAAGCAAGGCATGACACGGGACTAAAATTATATTCACTAACAGTCATATAGGCTATAAATCTTGTTGGAGGCCTACAAGAAAAGGGCCTTGGCCATCCCTGGCAGGATACCTGTTTCCTTATCACCACAAGCAAGTCAAAGTCCTTTGGCAAATGCCAGGGGGGTCTAAGAAGCAACACCTTAAACATGATGCAGCTGAACTTGGTGGAATAAGCCTACAGTCCCAGCACTCAAGAGGCAGAATCAGGAGGGTCACAAGGTGAAGGCTAGCCTACACTATATAGCAAGGCCTTGTCTCAAAACACCATAAAGGAAAACAGTAACAAGTAACAAAAGATTAATTCACATGTGCATGTTTCTGAAGTGTTAGTCAAACTTGTTTTGGGCACAGGGTCACTAACTGACCTGAACCTTGCTGATTTAGCAGAGCTGCCTGGCCAGCAAGTTCCAGGGATCTGCTGGTCTCTTCCTCTCCAGTCCTGGTATTACAAGCCTGCCAGGACATCCAGCTTTATCCCCATAGGTTCTAACGATTGAACTCAGGTCCTCGTGCCTGAATAACAAGTAGCAGTTATCACCCCATCCCCCCTACTTATTGTTTTGTAACTAAAATATTGTTTTTCCTCCATAGGTGACATAAATGTATCTAACTGAATCAATGATAAAATTTCTTTTAAGTACACATAGAAATTCTGTAATACATAGCACGTTGAACACTTAATAAAAATCTCTAAAAATTTTAATAATCTCTGCCATATTTTCATGTGATTTACATAATTTTAAAATAAGTTCATACTTTACATAGATTTTTAAAAATACATCTGATTGAATTGCAGACGATAAGCAAAATCCATTATTTGACTGCTTAACCATCACTTACAAAATAAATCTTACTTAACCATGTACTTAGAAAAAGTAGGCCAGTGGTTGATGGGGAGACATTAAAAAAAAAAATCAAGGCTAGTTTTAATTTCAAAGGCATGAAAATACAGTGGTAAGCTTCTGAAATTGCAGGATGCTGGAATGAAGCCCTACAATCTAGGAATGGGCGTGGCCGCCACCGCGATGCTCTCTATCGCACACTCATCAGTTCCTCTGCGGATCCGGAAGTAACCATCCTCGCCCCAGCCAATGCCCCAGCTGTTCTTCACAATCCAGTAATCCACCCCAGTGACAGGGTCTCTCCCATAGCCCACAAGCAGAACAGCATGATTTGTCAGCTCAAAGGGGTTGAAAGGGTCTCTCAACCCGGTGTGGTGGTAGATGCCTCCGCGGTAGTGCAGGAAATCATCTTGGACTTCAAAGGCAACTGCCATAGGCCCATGATTGACCAGCTCCAGCTTCATCAGGGCTTCGTTGCAGCCCCCATAGAAACCGCCCACATAGTGGTACTCGGAGGAATAGTAGCGGATGCAGTCATCCTTCGGCTTGCACGGAGCATCCTTGGCTGTGTAGGGGAAGCAGTCTTCTTCCACCACACCAAAATCTTGGGCGTACTTTCCTGCGATGAGGTACGGAAAGCCACCTTCACAGCCTATGGATGAACAGCATGCATGCTATTATGCCTTTTTCAGAAAGGAGCAAGCACTGTTTGTGCCCTGTCCTACTTTTTCTTCCCTGTTCCACTGTTCCTTATGTTACCCTGGAAGTTGTTCTTAGCATAAGTATCACTGCATTCATCCCTCATTTGCCATCTAGCTAACAATCCACCTACCCCATTTTTTTAAAATGGATATTTTATTTAGTACTTACTATGGAAGATACCTACACTATCCTACTGGTTAAAGGAAGGAAGTTCTGAAACCAATACACTTTCAAATTCAAAAGTATGTGAATAATTTGGCTTCTCTATACCTCAGCTTACTTATTTGAAAAATGTGCATGATAATAACACCTTTTCAAGGTTTAGAACAGCTATTTCACATAAAAACAGTCAATTTAGAGACTACTGTTACTGCCAAATAGTCATATACACATATACTCCCCCTCTAATAAGTCATCCTTGGCAACCTTCTGCCAATAGACTTCTGTCTTCCTCACCTTGGACCTATGACATCCACAGCCCACCAGTGTTCTTCCCATCATTATAGTTATTTAACTTCTATTTCTGTTATTTAACTGTAAACTTCATGAGGACACTTTGATGTATTATAGCCCCCGGGTTCTAGACATCACAACAACATGGCGTGTAAGTACTTCAGAAAGAACTTAACGTTCAGTCACTGATGGTTTTCACCAACAGTTTTTCTAGAAACCTGTATTACCTATAGCCTATTCTGGCCAAATGCTCCCAAACATAAACCATTATGAATATGGTTTTACTAGGAGCTGGATTTTGGAAAGGGACAATGATTGGAACCTAAAACTGCAATGCTTAAATGCTGTACAATCTTTATAATATAAAACATCCTATGCCCATTCTCTGCTTATGAATAAGGCCTGTGCCCACGTCTTACAGTTTTGTGCACTGTGTGATATTGCAAGTGGCAGTACTTAATGTACTGACATCTTGCTGTGGAATGCAGTGGATTCCACTAGGAACTGTCCACTGGTAATTGATGGGGCCAAATTTGCACCAAGGTTTCATGATATAGACACTGTGCTTTCTCTATTGCACCATCTTTTTGCCTTCATCAATGATAGTTACTGACAATCAGGCAAGGAACGCATAACACAGCTCCTGAAATACAACACTTACCTTGGGCATACTGGCTACAAGATACAATCTCCTGAGGACTCAAGATTGGAGTCTGAGTATTGTTGGTTAATATACGGATTCTGGCTTCTAGCATACCCACAGAAGCAAATGAGTAGCAGCTGCCACAAGATTCTGTAGAAGAAATAATATACATATATAGTATTCATACTTATACATATAGTTCAATAGATGTTTATAGTTTCTCAAAGAGTCATATGAAAATCTGAGTGAGATGATTAATAGAGAAGTTATAATAAAAGCTGCTCATAAAATCACATGCCTTTAATCCCAGCACTCAGGAGGCAAAGGCAGACAATCTCTGTGAGATTGAGGCCAGCCCAGTCTACATAGTAAGTTCCAGGGAGACCCCCGTCTCAAAATGATTAAAAAAAAAAAATCAGCACAATATAGAAGATTCAATCCACAAGTACTAACCTGAGATAGTCTTGACAAAATTACTGATAAAGAAGAATGGATTTATGTCTATACTATTCTCAGCCACCATACTGAGAGAAAATATGGAGGGACACATGTGAACTAAACCTTGAAAAATCCCCAATGCAGGGGCTGGAGAGATGGCTCAACAGTGGTTAAGAGCACTGACTGCTCTTACAGAAGACCTAAGTTTGAATCCCAGCACCCAGATGGCAGCTAACAACTGTCTGTAGTTCCATTTCCAATTCCTCTCCTGACCTCTGTGGGCACTGCACAACATGGGTGCATTTACACACATGCAGGTATAATACTCATACACGTAAAAATAAAAATAAATGAATAAAATTTAAAATTCTAATGCATTAGAGTTTGTTTCCCATAAATTCATGTTGAAATTTCAAACCTCAAAGTGGTGGTGCTTGGAAGTGGGTAGTGTCCTCATTTGTGGGATTAATGTCCTATAAAGGAGACTCTAGAACCTATTTGGCAAAGACCAAATGAATTATAAGAAGCTATTTAAAGAAAAAAAAAAGTATTGTAAAGTAATTCATGTGAATACAGTTATTTTTCTGTATATTTCTTTAAATTATGTGAGTAAAAGAAATAAACACACTGGGGCCAGAGAGATGGTTCAATGGTTAAGAGCACTGACTGCTCTTGCAGAGGATCCAGGTTCTAATCCTAGTACCCACATGGCTGCTAACAACTGGCCCTCTCTCTAGTTTCAGGGCAATCCGATGCTTTCTTCTGGCCTCTGTGAACATTGCAGGACACAGGTACACTTACAGACATGCAGACAATATACTCATATACATAAAATAAAAGTAATACATAAGATATTTGTTAAAAATGAAATAGACATAAGAAAATATTGAAAAACTGAACTTCTACACACTGTAGGTTTTTAAACAAATAAACATAACTTTACTATTTCTACTGCTGCAAAGCCTCTTTCGCCTCTTCCATTGATAGAGATTACATGGAAATATGTGTGTACCAAATCCATGATAAAGTCAGTTCTTTACAACAAAACTAAGCTATAAGCACTGTATTATGGATGTAAAATAAGATTTGTGAGGTCAATTATATATTTTAAATGCCATTTCTTCACAGAGACATGTCTTTAATAAGTCTATTAGTAATTTTGTAACTAACGTTATAGAGAGTGTTGTGAAAAGTATAATGCTTTTAAAATGTTACCCAGGATCCTGTTTTTCTCTTTTCTGGGTAATGATTTATATCTCTTCTGGAGGCAAAGGAAAGCCAGGACATTGTTCAAACTTCAACATCACAAAGGCTGTCTGTTTGAAATACTTAGATTTTTCTCCTCACACTAAGCTGGGCATTTCCCCCAATGCTCTTTATCTTGGCACGTGACTCAGTGGAGGAACTCTGTGCGTATTTGTGGAAGGAATGAGTCAAAAGATGAACAAGTAGCCACATATTTATAGTCCAGAAATAAAGTAAATTCAAGGGAAACAATCAACCAACCACTCTTTATCTCTAAGTTCTAGAAGGGGCAGAACTGTAGGTCGTAAAGTATACCTCCTTTAAATAAGTCACTGTACCACAAGGCCTTGCAACTGATATATCAAGAGCCTTATTTCTTAACCACTGTCACTTCTGATGTTCCATAAAATTCTTCCCTTTAAATTCTCAGATTTATCCATGTCAGCTATTGCCCTTGCTGATGAAGGATCATATCAGCTATGAATACAGGAGAACAAACACTGTAATGGGGCCTTGGAAGTCATCTACTAAGCAACCTACCCATTTAGTAAATGAGGTTCAGAAACTGAGGTAACAACCTGTCCATCAGCTAAGAGGCAGCAAGTGTTACACAATGCCTTGTTTCTCTTGGCTCCAGGCCTTTTAGGGCTATTTCAGAGGATTTTTTCCCTTGTCATATGGCCACTAAATACAAGAAAATTAACTTAGAAACTTTTGGGTTTTGAAACCAAAATATTATCCTTAGGACTTTTATTTCAAATGAAGGACTGACTGTCAATGAACAGATGCATGACTAAACAGCCAAAGTCACTATTGCTCTCAGGAAACAAGCAAACCATCCAGCTTTCTCAGCCATGGAGATAAACTCTATTAATCATTAAACTCTCATTATCTAACCATCAGCCACTGTGGGAGGGACAGGTCACAAGTACAGTCCACCATGGCTCAGAAAGTGTTCTGTTTTGAAATCACAGGAAAGAGAAAATCTCCTTTAGGTGTCTGACTGTCCTGGAAGATTGTCAGCTATCCAGTTAATTACTGCCTTCTTTCAAAAGGAAAAGCCAGTTTGGATTCCAAAAGAAACAGTCTTTTAAGACAACTGTCATGCAAAAAAGAGTAAGAAGGGGTCTAGCTGAGAGAGCTCTGCAGTGGCACGTCCACATAGCTCAGAGATGGAATGTGGTTTCACATGGTACACATCTTCCATCAGGGGGGACCACGCCAAAGGAGGACTGAAGAACCACAATTCCCTCTTCTTCCCTCCTCTCTTCCTTTGCCACATATTATCGGTGCGATCCAGAGCAGGTCACTTGGCCTTTGGCATTTTTTTTTATTTTTGTGCAAGATAGATGAGGTGGAACAAACAATTTAAGGCCCCTGCCTTTTTCTGCTCTAATAATAACCAAGATTTAAAACCAAGACTTAAATGGACTGGATTTTAAGCATCAGGAAAACCCTTTGCATTTCCTAATATGACCCTCGAGAGCCGCTCCCATTCTCCCAAATACAATAACAAGCCTTTCTAGTGGAAAACAAAGTTAAGGCAATCTCACTCAATTTCCCATCTTCTCACTTACACCTCAAGGTAAATCTAGCTATAAGGTGTCTTCAAAGCTGTTTTTAAGTGTTAATATAAAACTCTATCTTTCCAATATTACTTTTCACTTTAATCCTAATTTGTTCTCAGGCTAGAAAAAAGCCATGAATTCCCTTAACCATGGCTCATTTGCTATTCCGTGTTCTATAGAAAGTGGGTATTATGAAAGTTAGTGGATATTTCCAAGTATTTCAATTTGCAGGAAAGAAAATAACTGCTGTCTTTTCCAATCTAAAGTGTAAAAAGATAAGAAATTAAAAGAAGTTGTAAATACAGTATTTCCCCAAGTGTTTAACATGAGAGTGCAGTTGAGAGATCAAGTCAAAAGCTAAAACTTAGGATAACAATATTTTCTATTATCAAAGTTAAAGGAAGTTTTATGAAATTAACTTATGACTCAGGAAACTGAGTTAATCCTTACCATCGGATGTTGTATTCTGATAATAAGTGAATTAAAAGGTCCAGACACAGTTCAAAAAATCCACTAAGATTCACAGATCTGTTTTCTAGGTCTGTATAGTAATTAAAGACTGCATAACAGGAGGAATCTGAGACACATAGCAAAGAAGGGCTCCTGTTAGCTGCTCTAGCTTCCATTGGAAAGAAGACTAATTTTATTTGTATACAACTCTTTGTTTCTATAGGACTGTCTCCCAGCTAGGTAAATGAGTACCATTTATCACTCTGGTGAAACCCATACTAAGAAATACTGAGCTCAACCAGAAAGACCATCTACTAGCAAAGCCAGTCATTGATACAAAAGGAGGGAGTAGAATTCAGAGGCCACTGAGGCAGGATATATAGCACAGGCTATCCTCAAATTGGCAACCTTCCTGCCTTAGCCTCTCCAGAGGGCACCACCATAATTTTCCTCCATTCATTTACTAAAACAGATCATGCCCATTTTGTCTTTGTATCCCTAAAGCCATCCCAGAGCCTGGTATTTAACAAATGTTCAATTAAAAGCTTGGACTGGGCTTTTTTTGTTGGTTTTACCTTGGTTTCGAACAGGGCTAACATAATTAATCCCGTGTACATTTCTCCAGTCCCAAGATGTTGGCAAATTTGAAATCTTCTGCTGTATTTCATCAGTCAGTGGAGCAGGTTTGGGCCTAGAATATAAATATATCCTTAATATCAGCATAGTCTTTTCTTAAAAGATGGTTTCTAAACTGATTCTGTGATTTAAACCATCAGAGCTGCTAGGCTCTAGGTTGAGAAAGCTGAAGAGCACTTGTCCCATGAACGCTGCAGTGTGTCTGTTACACAATGTGTCAGTTGCATAACTCAGCTTGATAACTCTAGTTACTGGGGGTTTTCAGAATCTAGTCATTTTCCCCTGTAGTAGTTTCTGTGATGCTGTTTTTAAAAGATTAACTTTATTTTTTTATTTATGTGTATGTGGGTGTGTTTGTGTGAATGTATGCCATGTGAGTTCATTGTCCAAGGAGGCCCTGGAGCTGGAGTTACAGGTGGTTGTGAGCTACTCAATATAGTATTGGGAACTGAACTCGGGTCCACTGCAAGGGCTTCTGATTGTTAAACCATCTCCCTAGCTCCTGTGATTATATTTTTAGTATGGCTGAATAGTTGCATTTTGGTAGATGTTGAAGAAGAAAGGAAATATACAATTGGGAGTGGTGGCTCACGCCTTTAATTTTAGCACTTTGGAAGCAAAGGCAATAGATTTTTGTGAATTTATAGCCAACCTGGTCTACATACTGAGTGCCAGACCAGCCAAAGCTACATAATGAAACCCTGTCTTAAAATCCAAACCAAACTAAATCAAACTAAACTCAGGCAAACCAAACCAAACCAAAACAAAAAAGGATTAACTAGTGTTTGACCCTGGAGATAGTGAAGGCTTTAAACTTTTTAGATATGTGACATTCTGCAAAGGAGCTTTAATATCAAAAAAAAAAAAACAAAAAAACAGTTAATTCTTATTAAAATGGGGGTCCTTATACTTACCTCAAGTATTTTTATGAAAATCCAATGTAATAACAATAATACAAAAGCTTATAAATGGCAGCTGTGCTAAGTGCACCATTGAATTTCATTGAATCCCACGTAACATGCTGATATTTTAAAGTGATTTTTCTGGCACAAAACTGGCATTTAAATGCTAACTTATATCTTCCTACCATCCTAGAAGAAGAAGGGGGGGAGGAGGAAGAGGAGGAGGAAGGAGGAGGAGAAGAGGAGGAGGAAGAGGAGGAGGAGGAAGAAGAGGAGGAAGAGGAGGAGGAAGAGGAGGAGGAAGAGGAGGAGGAAGAGAAGAGGATGAGGAAGAGAAGAGAAGAGGATGAGGAAGAGGAGGAGAAGAGGAGGAGGAGGAAGAAGAGGAGGAAGGAGGAGAAGAGGGGGAGGAAGAGGAGGAAGAGGAGGAGAAGGGGAGGAGGAGGAAGAGGAGGAGGAGAAAGAGGAGGAGGAAGGAGAAGGAGAAGAGGAGGAGGAAGATGAGGAAGAGGAGGAGAAGAGGAGGAGGAGGAAGAGGAGGAGGAGGAGAGGGAAGAAGACAGGAAAACAACAGTGGAAAAGCGAAGCTTAACCGGGTGCCAAAGAAGAAGAAAGGGGAGCTTGTGGGCACTAACATGAGAATTATAAACAATTTACAGATGCTATATGTTATTGGATCTTAACGCTTTGGGCACAGTGATTAGGACTCTGGTGAAAGTCTGGATCAGAGAGATGCTCAGAAATAATACTTGCTTCTGATTTCAGCAGTTTCACTGACTCCTTAAGCCTCAGACTAAGGATATTTGAGACTTTCTATTTTACCATTAGATTTTTTTACAACAGACCTAATTTCTCTACAGTAATGCTACTAAGCATTGGGCAGCCAGACTTTTATATTTGCTTCACTATTTCCTTCTTTAACTGATTCTGTCTCTTAAACTCTTTATGAAGCTTTATTAGTAAAAGCAGTCCTTCATAAAGCTAGTCATCCTCTAGAACTAAGCAACCATCTAAAAGAAAAAGAGTGCCTCAGAAACGGCTGGGCTTCTAGAAGGAAGAGAGAAATGAGGTAAAAGGAAAATAAAGTTTTCAAGGTATGTATATTGTAGTTTGAGAGACAATCCAGTAGTAAATATTATTACGGTTCTATTTAGATTATGTGGGATACCACGGTGAAATGTAGACAGCGCTCAGTAATAGGCATAGCTGGGGACAGGAAAACAAGGCTGGCAGTATTCAAGGAATGGCTAACATAACAGGGAGAAGAGAAAAACTAAGAGGCAAGAGCCAAAAAGACAGGGGGCAGGAAGCCAACCAACAGAGCAGGAGAGAGAGGGCAACGCCAGAGTGTAGAAAACAGAAAGCAATGGAAGAAAGCACCAGACATCACGAAAGCAAGACTCCATCCCCCCCCAACAAGACTGGGCAATAAATGTTCATGAATTTGAAATGAAAAAAGAACAAAAAACTTCTTCTTTTTTTTTTTCTTTTTGAGACAAAGGTTTCCCTGGAGTCCCAGTTGGCCTGAAACTCACTATGTAGACTAGGTGGTCTCATCTCAGAGCCGCCTGCGTCTGCCTCCCGAGTGCTGGGATGAAAGGCCTGTGCCACCGCGCTAGGCTGAAGACTTTAAATTTAAATTGGGATGACCAATACAGTGATGGGCCACCCAGGAGGGGCTGATGGGACAGAGGGTGCCATTCAGCACCTTATTTCTTACTAGTGATAAGGAGAGGCACTGGACTACCTTGGGATCCTCTGGTTGTGGCCACCACTTCTCCTGATCAGATCTCTTAGGTTCAGAGTCTCATATTCCATGTATGTGGTTGCGGTCCAAGACTTCTGAATGGAATTGATTGCCCTCACGAAGTTGTGGTCATAACTGTAGAGCCTGTCAGAATATCTGCCAACACAAAGAGACAGCCAGCTGTAGTCTTTTCTTTTAAAAACAGATGCCAGTAAAACAGATACCCACACTTTGAATATCAAGGCGGGAGGTGTTATAGTCTTTTAGGAAAAGGGTTGGCAATATAGATGAAGAATTAAAACTGTAAGTCTCCCATGAAAGTTCAAATTAACCGAAATGTACATATAATGATTTTCAATGAACACTTTTATACTAGTGATAGATTAGAAACAACCTAGATAAATGTTCCAAAATAAGGGACTGATTAAAATATTGGTACTTCATGTACATATAGTTTATTCAGTTAAAAATGCATAGATTATTTCATAATGTAAAGAAAAGTCACATTAATTTTTAAATGGCAGAGTTTATATAGATTAATCAATTTTTATAAGTTTATATATGCATAATTATGCCTTTTAAAAACCAACCATATTTATTTTTGTAGGTAGTCTGAGTTACCTTTGCCGAATGACCTCCCTTTTTTATTATCTATTTTTTTTTATTTTGAGATACAGTCTCGTGTAGCCTAGATGGTCCTCACACCCATTATGTCTCCAGGGATGACTTTGTACTTTTGATCTGTCTGCCACTACTTCCCAAGTGATGCCAGGAAAGTACCTTTTCTACCAAGCTACATCCTTGACTCCCACATGCCCCTTTTAAAAGTGCACTTTTATAACCCATTATATGAAACTAGGGGAAAACAGAATGTATATGCAATGCACATATGTTTTATGAATGCATGACTCAAAAATATTATTCCATATAAGTGTTTTATGCCTTCATTCATTGAAAATCAGTATCGGCAGGAATATCTGAGAACTTTCAGCAATGTCAACACCACCCAACTCTGACCACCTCAATCAGGATCTGCACCAAAATTAGCTCCCACATGATTCATAAAAACATTAAAATTTGAGAAGCTTGTCTATTTTATACAAAATGTTTAGATGCAGATGTAAAAATAACTCAGAAAGAATATGTTTACAAAGAAAAAAATTAAATAACTTATTCACTTAATTCCAAAATTTATCAAACTTATGTGCCATGGACAGGAATCATACAAGTCACTATAGTGTTCCTACTTTAACACATTCCATGACGTGAGCACATGCAGCTCACCATTCAAGGCTTTCATCAACATTCAGTTACAAAAAGCAAGATCTACTGAACCTGAGTGACATTTCAGGCACACTGTGAACTTTTAATTCTCATTTGTAGAGAAAGGATTGTGATAGTGTCAGGGAAATGGAAAGTACTGCAAATATTGAGCAAGTGTGCAGCCGTGTTTTTAGTGCTTTAGTGTTTTTATTGAAGTTCTTTCCCAGATGTTGCAAAGTGTGAAAGCAGAGGTGTCTTACTGGATAAGTTACAACAGTGCTTGTGCTTTATTTCTGACAATACTAATCCCCCCCCAAAAAAAAAGCTACAGGTATTTTACCTCTTTAAGCTTTAACTTTTACTTAGTTTACTTACTTCTATTTTATTTTATGCATATAAGTATTTTGCCTGCATGTATGTAAGTGCACCACACGTGTGCAAACCTGCAGAGACCAGAAGAGTGGATCAGATCTCCTGGAACTAGGGTTACAGATAACTTATTTATGATGTGGGCATTGGGAATGGAACCTGGGTCCTCTGAAAGAGCAGCCAGTGCTCCTAACTGCTGAGCCATCTCTCTAGCCCCTAAATGAATATTTAAAAATATTCTCCACCAAGTCTTTTTTTTTCCCTGGCTATATTAAGTCTTTGAGAAGCATTTAGAAAGACCGTACATACTGCATGACCGCAAGGACAGGATGCCATTAAAAGTCTTAAAATCTTTTTTTGTGCTCCTAGCCTGCACTACTATCCTCAGGACTCTTGGGGTAAGTCCATAGCGCAGCTCTCCGAGCCGGGACTCCCTAAGCCACATTCACCGTTCCATCCCCGCCCTCGCCCCTGCCGTTCTATACTCCTAGTTTGGGCCCTGCACCATTCCTAGTCTTGGGGCCCCAGACACCTGGGGAACCAATAC